TATCCCACGTTTTCTAGAGTATTTCCCCATCACATTCCTTATTGCAAAAAGTCTGTTTTTGTTGGTTTGGTTTTTTTTTGTGAGAAGAGTCAGTTTGTTGCACAAGACCTCCAAATCAGCTTTAATTGTGCAAACTGAATTTGCTGGTATGTGATTCAATCCTACCTAAAAATAGTGACTCTCTGAAAGTGCCCTAATTTTGGATTTTGGACAATATATGGAAGAGTTATCTTTGTCTCTTTCATGATATTGGGACCAGCCACTTAGCAAGACATATTAATCTGCCTTGCTTTATTTGTTGTTGTTTAGTCGTTTAGTTGTGTCCGACTCTTCGTGACCCCATGGACCAGAGCACGCCAGGCACTCCTGTCTTCCACTGCCTCCCGCAGTTTGGTCAGACTCATGTTTGTTGCTTCGAGAACACTGTCCAACCATCTCGTCCTCTGTCGTCCCCTTCTCCTTGTGCCCTCCATCTTTCCCAACATCAGGGTCTTTTCCAGGGAGTCTTCTCTTCTCATGAGGTGGCCAAAGTATTGGAGCCTCAGCTTCACGATCTGACCTTCCAGTGAGCACTCAGGGCTAATTTCCTTAAGAATGGATGCGTTTGATCTTCTTGCAGTCCATGGGACTCTCAAGAGTCTCCTCCAGCACCATAATTCAAAAGCATCAATTCTTCGGCGATCAGCCTTCTTTATGGTCCAGCTCTCACTTCCATACATCACTACCGGGAAAACCATGGCTTTAACTATACGGACCTTTGTTGGCAAGGTGATGTCTCTGCTTTATAAGATGCTGTCTAGGTTTGCCATCGCCTTTCTCCCAAGGAGCAGGCGTCTTTTAATTTCGTGACTGCTGTCACCATCTGCAGTGATCATGGAGCCCAAGAAAGTCAAATCTCTCACTGCCTCTATTTCTTCCCCTTCTATTTGCCAGGAGGTGATGGGCCCAGTGGCCATGATCTTCGTTTTTTTGATGTTGAGCTTCAGACCATATTTTGCGCTCTCCTCTTTCACCCTCATTAAAAGGTTCTTTAATTCCTCCTCACTTTCTGCCATCAATGTTGTGTCATCTGCATATCTGAGGTTGTTGATATTTCTTCCGGAAATCTTAATTCCGGCTTGGGATTTATTCAGCTCAGCCTTTCGCATGATGAATTCTGCATATAAGTTAAGCAGGGAGACAATATACAGCCTTGCCGTACTCCTTTCCCAATTTTGAACCAGTCAGTTCTTCCATATCCAGTTCTAACTGTAGCCTTATTGGAACTATAAATATAGTTTCTGCTTATTGCTACAAGTTTGTTTTACTTCTGTTGAGATCTCTTACATGACATATTTTAATAGAAGAAAAGATTCAACAAAATATATCTCATCTCTCCCTCTCTTTATACAGTAGACTTTTTTTGCATGCTATAATGATCGAAGAGTCACAGAACAGAAAGCAGGACATTATACAACTGTAGGAAATGTCAAAAGCCAGCACTTAATTGCTGTTCTCATGGCCACATTACCAGAGACTACAAATAGTGCTAATGTATAATGAATTGAGCTTCCCCCTTTACAGCCATTTTGTTCCTACAGCTATTAATGCCCTTGTTGAATCATTGAAAAATATTAATGGGATCACCACCTGCTCAAATTTATTTGTTCAATATGTTTTTCTTTTCTTGTGACCCAGTCCCAAAGCATCAAGATTCTTAAACAATGATGTGGGAAACAAGAATTAACACAAAACTACAAAACATACCATATTCATCCTACCTTATGCATATAAAACATGCATACAATGATGAAAGGGCAACACAAATATCTTAAAGTATGATTTGCAGTATGTACAGAATGAGAATGGAGTCACTGTTTAATTGCATACATATCAATTTGCTGCTGGCAAGTACTTAGCAAATTTCTGTGTAAATGTCAGACCTATGCTTATTCAGCAAGGATACAAGATCACAAGTGCCATCTGGAATGGGGAAGTGTAGCCTCTTTATTTTCTACTAGGATTCAGACTATAAGGAGTAATATGGATGCTGATTCAGAGGCAAATGAATAAATATGCATATTAATATATTCTGTAATTACGACACTCGGTAATAATAATAAAAATGTCATTCAGATCCTTGCCCAGATGTCTGCGTCTTTTGCGCTGTTTGAGGATGTAAAGGCCTCTTTCTTCTTTCTCCTTCCAATTGTGAGGGATAAAAAGGGTAAATGAAAAATTCTGCAGCAAAAATAATATATTACAAATAAATATTGCAATAATCTGCAATACATGGCTTATAGGCCCAAGCTGTTCAGGGTTCAAAATTTAATACATACCCTCCAAAATCTCTCAGACGAAAATAGGGACATTTCTCACTCCCCCCCCATGACCCTCCTCAACCCCCATTTTTTATTGTTATCCCCCCCCCCCCCGATCATTTTCTATCTGGAGACGGACGAGTGCTGCTACCACCGCTCTTCTCTTCTCTTTGGTGATCACTCGTAGCCGAGTAAGACTGAGTTGGGTTTTTGGAAGACGCCTGTGTGTAAATTTGTTTTATGTGTGTAGATCAGTGCACGCTGACCAACACACAGTCTTCGCAGTGGGGCTCTGTTCCGATGGCATAAAGTAGTCACGACAAACCAGTAGATTCCTGTCTGCTGCAGCCTTCATCCGCCTTCACAGCCGTTGTAACATACCGCTTGTTATCATCCGCCTGTTTTGCCGTTGGATCATTCTTTGTCTGGCTCCTTCCCTTTAACTTTACCGTCTTGGGTGACCCTGCTGGGAGTACGAGATTCCCGACGGCTTCGCTCACAAGGGTCATAGGAACATGCAAGCCCACTCACCACGACAAGGGGATGATCCAGCGAGTGGGGTACCATCACCCCAACAGTACACAACATACACGTCCTTCATCAACTTGAAAAAACAACAACCCTTAATGCCAATTTTATTCTTTGGTAGATTTACAAAAAGAAAAGCACAAACCAATAAATAAATTTTAGAAAGGGGAAAGATTAAATGTGAGGACACAAAGATTTTTTTTAAAAAAAATCAAGACTCCTTGCGTTTCGCTTCACTCTCCCTTTCTTCCTACCCAGGGCTGCCTTGCCCTCTGCCTGTCCCCACAGCCAGCTCAACACACAGGGCTGGAACTCAGTGGCTGCAGCCTCTCCTCCTCTTCACCTACTCATGGGCAGCCACTATGAGCTGCCCAAGGGAGGAAGCCAGCAGTGGTAGCCATGGATAGGCAACAAGATGCTCCCTCACAGCTGCCGCCTCGAGACAAGCGCTGGCTCATCTTCCCTGAGCTCGGCCGCAGCAGCACCGATGGGGGAAAGAGGGACATTCTGGGATCAAATCAGAAGCTGGCATGGCTTTCATAATCCCGGGGCTGTCACTGGAATATCGGGACACTTGGAGGGTATATTACTATTTAGATAATTCTAAGCTGGGTCTGAACTCCAGAGCAACCAATACAGTGGACACTCAGGTTGCGAATGTGATCCGTGCAGGAAGCACGTTTGCAACCCACAGCGCTGTGTCTGTGCATGCATGGGTCGCGATTTAGCGCTTCTGCACATGCGCAAGCGCCCAAACTCAGAAGTAACCCGTTCTGGTACTTCTGGGTTCGGCATGGTGCGCAACCCAAAATCGCACAACCCGAAGCGTCTGTAACCCGAGGTATGACTGTACTAAGTAAAGACAAGCAGAAAACACTCCAAGAAAGAAAACTTCACTGAGCATATGTGTTCTTCACCCTGTAACTGAAAGGGCCCACACAGGTAATATGTTAAATACTGAAGTAATTTCTAGGTATTTTAGCCTGGGGGTTGACACCCTTTTTCGGCCAATGAGTGCATTTGGCATTTTGAGGAGGTGCCGAAATTCAGTGCAAAATGTCTGCTGTGAGGGCCTGGCACGTAATGGTTGCCACGTCAAAAAGAGGAGAAAAAGAGACTGAGCCACAAAGTGGTGGGGGCAAGCCTGTCCACCTGGCCCCCTATCCATGTGGAAAAAGGCACCTACACCAGACATTGCCCTGTTCTCTCAAGGAGATAAGCCCTTTGCACTTCTCCTCTGTTCAGGACAGATGGGAAGGAGGGAGTCCCGTCCAGGCATCCAATGAGTTATGGGCATGTCTAAGGGAGCATGTTCAATGTAGGATAGGCTGAGCTTGTGCAAACGAACTGAGCAGGAAGATTAAACACTTTCTCTAGTATTGTGGATTTTGGGGGTGATATTTCATGAGAGCTTTCGTGGGGACCAGAGGAGCTACTGGTGGGCATGCTGGTGCTCACAGGTGCCATATTGGCAACCCCTGAATTAGCAGTATTCCCAGTGCTACCAGTGAAGCAGCCATACTTTCTTCTAAAGTGGAGTCCCATGGGTTTACTGGCACTGCTGATGGGGATGTTGCCCATGCTTCTTGGGCCAGAGAACTCTGGTCCATCATTCATAGGAGGGAGCACAGGAATCTGCCTTGTACCTGTTGGACCTGTTTCATATCTGCTATTGGGTCCCCGGAGCACAGATTCACACAAAGTGGCAAACGACCTTGCAGGATACAACAGGGTTTATTTGAAATGCATATGCATAGCAAAGGTGCAGCGCAATAAGCTCGCAATCTGCTTTTTATACATTTGCAGAATACAGTGCCACCTGATTTCTTCTAAACCACCTGATTTCTGGGAAATCAAAGTTATAGTAAGTTTCTATATCCTTACATGGGCATATCCTGATTATGCTCTGTTCCATGAATCGCCCCCTCATCCCTGCCCCCTCCACATCACAGCAACGGGCATTCCTGAATCCTCCTGATCTCTTTACAACTTTGAATCATAAACATTTGAGAGGCCCCTCAATGCCAGCCTTGTTCTCCTGGCGGACCTCGTTTGGGGAGGTGTTTCTTATGGCCTTACATACCAAGTCTGACCATTGCTTCATCTAGCTCAGTATTGTCTACACTGACTGCCAGTGGTTGCCCAGGATTTTTAGTTTCTCCCCACCCTAGCTGGAGATTCCAGGGACTGAACCTGGGACCCTCTGCTTTAAAGGGAGGTGCTCTCCCACTGAGCTATGCCTGCTTTTGGACATGCTCTGGAATTTATGCTCTCCTCCCCTTTTTGCAGGTTCTAGCTTCCATTTGCAACTAACTGCACTTAGTTTAACATTCAGTTGTTATGTAGGATTGCAGCCCAATTGGGTTAGGCTGGAAATTAAGGGTTTATTCAGTATCAGAAATTACTCAAACCCACCTACGTTTCTGTCATCATGTAGATTCTCATATCATGATTGAGCATTGACATATATGAGCCATTTGGATTATGTATATGTTTTAAGTTTTAAATTATAGGACCGTGTTGGGCTGTTGCTTACTTAAAATATGTATTTTGACATATATACTGTGCCTTTTGTTCCCCTCCTGTGAAATCATTGCCATTCTGCAATAATCAAAGAACATTTGTTTGCATTAAAGATATCCCACTTTGTCACAACAATCTGCTGCCTATTAAAAGCTTGTAGTAAATGGGCTCTTTACTATTATAAAAGCTGTTATCCAATGGGGACAGAATACAAAAAAAACACACTGGTTCCCCCACCCCATCTTCATTAAACAAAATGCCTTTCATAGAAGCTAATTCTTTTCTATAAAGAAAAGAAATAAAATTCATCTTCTACTTCAAGAAAAACATGCACAAAGACCCTCCAATTACAGGTGAGAATAATATACAGGCTTTTTAGGAATCTACAACCATGAAATGTATTGCAATTATTTCCTTCCTCCTTTATATTTTTCATATCATTCATACAAAGCTCATGATTAAATTAATTTGCTCTGAATTTCAAACATAAATTTGCATGGATGGCAAGGGATTGTGTGTGTGTGAGGGGATGGGGGGAAGCACTATTACTCCAACAGTGTTCTCAGAGTGCAGGGAGCCCCTGCTGTTTTACCTGCTTACTGTTAATACATGTCTATGCTGCCATTTCCATTTCCATTTCCATTTGAAACCCCCTGAATTGCCCCGCACTTCTACAAAATGCAGTTGCCGCTAAGTCATGCTACCTTCTGATGTTTAGTGACCCGAATGAAATTGTTTTAATGTAATTGACTGGCATGCTTTTGTATATGGAATAAAGCCTGCTCAGCAAAGACTGAATTGTGTGATTTTCTTCCTCTTGTAATAAAGATTTCTCTCCCCGCCCCTCACAGCCAAATGTGAGCAATGCTATTGGCTGATAAAGACAACAACCTTAAAATTTTCTCCCTCCCCCCCCCCAAATATATTGAATTGTAACAATGATTTCATATATGTGCCCCATACTACATTTTTCCACTTGGCTGGTCAACAATTTGCAACAAGTAATTAGCGATAAAGCATCAGTTCCCCGTGGAAGCAGTTTAGCTGAGGTCATTCAAACGAATATAGTAAGCAATTGGGGAGCCATTTAAGAGAAACACATAATTAGTATTTTATCTGGCATGAAGTCAAAGCACAGTTATTTTTTATAATAAATTTCCAAATATATGCTTTGGGGCACAAGAGAAGGAATGCATTTTAAAACAATTGGCAACCAATTAGGTTAACTTAAATAGACAGTGGCAGCTCACGAGATGAGTTGCCATACTGCAGCTCTTTCAGCCAGGGAAACCTTGGCGTTGAGCTTTGTTTGGTTCCATTATAGTTCCCTGATCAGTTCTGAATGTGTTCCATTATAAAAAGCCAATGCAGATAAGTAATTGGATGTCATCATTCACACAGCCCTAGGAAGAATCAAGTCTATGTTTAAAATCTGCTTAAAAATAAATTAAAATTGGGAGAGGCTACAGTCCTTTACAGGAAAATGCACACTTAAGTCCCACTGATATCAAATTGAATTTAAGCACACACAACTCTGGCCTTGTCACAAACCATGGTGGTTTGTTTTTCTGTTTTGTTCGTTAACCTTTTGCATCATCAATTTTTGATCATTCTTGGGCATTGCTTTGGAGGAGATCATATGGTTGCATTGCAGGGGGTGGGACTAGATGATCCTCAGGGTCCCTTCCAACTCTACACATTCTATGTTCTATCCTCTTCCATGACTCCTCTGACCATAGAATATGTGCTATATCTGCACATTTTTTTCACAGAAGAACACCATACTGCTCAGGGTAGAATATACGATGGGTGTTTGGGTCTTCTTGAAATCTCGGGGGAACAATGAGTTACTCCAGGAATCAAGGTTAAGACAAATTAATTTATTAGAACTTTTACAGTTAGAATCAAAACTTGAAACAAATTAGGGTCTTTATGTGGGATCATGAAAGGATCCCCCTAAATAATACACATTTTTGAAATTTCAACACATTTCAGAGCTGTGTATATATAATATAGTCCTGTTTTCAGCACTGTACTCAGTGTCCTCATTGACATACAGTTAACATCACCTCCAGTATGTCCTTACCTTCTTATACTGTTTATAATATCCAGAGATAACCGTGTCCCACTGGTTGTCTCTAATCCATCGCATTTCTGTTATGCCCAATATATCAATGCTGTCTCCTAAGACCAAGCACTCCAGAGCCTCTTGTCTTTAGTGTCTTTCCTGCCTCCATTAAAGTTTCTCTGCTTGCATCCATGCTAGTTAATGTAAAAGTCTTTATTGTGCATTAAATGACCTTGGTGATCAATTAAATGAGAATGAATTGGGGATTTAGGGTTTTAAAGAGCAGCAGCAGTCTCACTTGTTTATTTTGTTTTGTCTTATTAAATGCTTTTAAAATACCAGATAGTGGGAATGTAGAACTTTGTACTGAGTTCTAAAGTAGGCTCAGGCAAAGAAGCCAACCTCAATCAGTCATGGACAAGAAATTTTAAAAAGCAGAAGGAATGAAAAAGGAATTGGAAAAGGCAAGAGGAATTGGCTGAGTCAGATAGATGACGGCAAGGTAATGTTGATAGTGCCTCTTTCAGGCATATGATGTGGGTGTCTCCTGTTGTGTCGTTTTTCTGGTCAGAAATTAGAATTCACATTAACTTCCATTTTGGTAAAATCCTTAATATTTGTCAATGTTCATGCGCTTTTCAGTGAAATCACTGTGGTGTGGGGACCAAAATCCCATGGGTCCTTACAGTTGCAAAGAGACTTGTACTTCATTGCTGGAAGGCTAAATACCCACCACACATTACTCAGTACTATAAAGATCTCACTGTCCCTTTCTACAGTTGAACTTATATCTTATATGGTTATTGTCAATCTGGTTTGGATATCTAGTTGGAGATATGGACTACTTACATTAATACACGTTTTTATGTTAGGGTTGGTGATTTTTATTTTTATTTTATTGCTGAAGTGAGCCGAAGATGTTTCTTTCCATTTTCTTTTTCTTATATTTGGAAATTAAAAGGTTGGAGGGAGGGAGAAGGAAATGGTTGCCCAGTACAGTGACAATTCTGTTCCACATCTTGAATCAGGGAATAGGTGTACTGACCAGCTAAAAGGAGAATAGTGTCTTCCCTTGTCTTCTGAGTGGAAGATGAAGGGTTTGTTTTACCATTTAAATTGTGGTGCACAGAACTCGACATAGTACTCCAGGTGTGGTCTGATCAAGGCAGAATAGAACGGGACTATTACTTTCCTTGATCGGGACCTTATTTGATGCAGTCCAGAAAAGCATTAGCTTATTTTTTGCTGTTGTAACACACTGTTGACCCATGTTAAGGCTGTGGTCTACTAACACCCCTACATCCTTTTCATGTGTATTGCTTGAAATCCATTGAAAATCATTCTGTTAGTTTGGGCCCATTTCTCCAATCTGTCATATTGAATTCCGATTCTGTTTTCTGCAGCATTGGCTACCCTTCCTAGTTTGGTGTCATCTGCAAATTTGATGAGCATCCCCTCAGCACCTTCATCCAAGATATTTAACAACAAGGGGCCCAGCACAGAACCCAGTGGCACCCCACTTTTCATTTTCCCCCAGTATGACAAGGAACAGTTAGTGAGCACTTGTTGGGTTCAGTCAGTCAACCAGCTACAAATCCACCTAACAGTTACCTTGTCCAGTCTGCATTTTACCAGTTTTTGGCAGAAGAAATAACTGCAAGTTCTTCTATGACAAAAAGGGAACATCCAAAGAATTTAGGCTGACACAGCACATGCCTCGTAAAGACTTCATTGAAGCCCTTAGAACAACCCAAACTTCCTGTTGGCACCTGTTTCAGGTTCACTTCCTCCCTTGTTTCTTTGCACTCGGCAGACCTTGTTATGGGGGCTATCTACCATGGAATCAAGGTCTTCACAGACAGATTGCACCAGTGGCAGGGAACATGGGTCGCTCCAGATGATTTTCGGTCTCCAGCTCTCATCAGCCCCAGTCAGTATGCCAACTGGTCAGGGATGATGGGAGTTGCGGTCCAGCAAAACCAGGAATACCATAGGTTCAACCTAGCCCTGCATTAGACAACAGTACATCACTCCCCAACACTAACGTTTGCCATTTGCCCTCCAAAGTCCCTCTGCTCTGTAAGCTCTGCTTCCTCCATGGGGCTCTTCTCATTCAGCTTCTCAGCTTGGATGTGGAGGGAAAGGCATCCCATCCAGACTCTCTACCAGCATAATGGACTGCAGAGGGAGCAAAGTACCAGGAGATGGTGGCAATTCTTGCCCACTAGGACTGCAAGCAATTGCACTGATAGGAAGACAAACTGCTTCCTTTACAGGATTCCTCCCAAAGACTGTGTTTGCCTGTACAAGGTGTCAGAAGACAAGGAGGGAAGAATTATTTAGGTTGAATCTTGTAAGTTTTGTCTATAAACCACAATACCCACCCACCTATCCATTATTCTTTTCTAATGCTGAGTTCTCTTCTTGAGCAGGCAAGCACAGTGCTGTTTCTTAGATGGCTCAGAAGATGTGGGAAGGGCTGTCTATAAGCAAAATGATTTCCAACATGTCAGATCCTGAGGATTACCTCTGGGCAACAGTGCATTAAAATACTTTTCCATCCTCTTCCATTTTGCAGATCAAGCCATGCCTGCATACGGTGGAAAATAATTCACAAAAGGAAACCTTGGGCAGAAAGACCCTCATAAAA